AAACATGATTCGTTTACACTTAAACGAATAAAGTGTTTTTCTAACTTAGCAGAAATACACAGTGGTAAAACGTAATATGTTTATAGGTATGCCAAAAAAAAAAAAAAAAAAAAAAAAAAAAAATGAAAAACCCTCATCCGGTTTTAATAACATAATAATACCTACTGTTACAAAAGAACTGTTTGTGTCTGCAGCATAGCAAAGTGTGATTCATTTACACTGCAGTAAAAGAATTAACCGTGTCTTCGCAGTAATAAAAATACGATTCATTTATATATTGAAGCAAAATAAAGAATTATCTGTTTACGAAATAGCAGGTGTAACAAAAAATGGTCTATTTATTCTGAAGTAAAAACGATTGCATATAGTTGGTCAACTGGTGTTAAACATTTCACGAAGAAGTCGACAGCATCTTATAATGAAAACAATGATGCTATCTCGAATAAGTGAAATAAATGTTGTTACTTCCAAGAGAGAGAGGGAACAAACATATCTAACGTATTTTAGAAAGATAGCGAGAAAAACTACGAGTATATAAAAGATTTGTGTTCAGTTGAATCTCACTTTAGGTGAAAATATGAAGAACAACTATAATAATGCTAAAAAGTATTAATAGGCAAAGGTGTCTTTTTTGTGAGTATGCGCAACCTTTCCTGTAAATCCTGTTCTAAATTTTCTGAGCGGCAGGACCGGCTGTATCTGATCATAAGATTTTGTCCCTTACTATATATTAGCTTACAATTTAAGACATTTTGCTTTTTTGCTTTCTTCAATAATGTAAACGTAATCTTAATGTATGTAAAATTATGAAAATAGAGACTAAAGTTATAAGGTATTTCTCCCGCCTTCTTAGTATGCCTTCGTGGTGTAGTAGTCAGCACGCTCGACGCGTATTCGAAAGATCCATGGTTCGAGTCCCAGCGAGGGCATTGCTCATTTTTCATCTCTCCTGCTCCAAAAATACCTAATGTCTCTACAGTGTTGCCCGAACTAAAAAAGGTGGTTGTCCCCTAATCCCCAGTCGCCCTTTAAAAGTAGTAGTAGTATATAAGGTATTTCTCCCGCCTTCTTAGCATGCCTTCGTGGTGTAGTGGTCAGTACGCTCGACGCGTATTCGAGAGGTCCGTGGTTCGAGTCCCGGCGAGGGCATTGCTCATTTTTCACTTCTCCTGCTTCAAAAATACCTAATGTCTCTACAAAGTAAGTAATTATACAAATTTAGCTAATAAATGCTGTTGAAATACAGGTCTTCATGACAGTTCCGAAAACCCGCGCGACTTTAAACCTTTTTTTTTTTTTTTTTTTTTCAAAAAAAATTATTTTAGTTTTGATAAAGAAATATACTGTTCTAATCTGTCGCTGTTTCGTATAAATTATTTAAGTAAGTCCCTGTATATAATTTACTGAATTCATTAAATGATTCACAGGAAGAAAGATTACAGTTTCCCGCGAAATTTGCTGAAATCATGGGATGAAAATACGTATAATTGATAAATTCTAGTTGCATGTTTTGTTAAAGATTAGTTATTATATTTTGTTAAAAATTATTTATTATATTTCTATTAACTGTAGTTAAGGCAACTTTGTATTAAGTCCAAAACCTTCGACAAAAGATTTCGAAAAGAATGTTCAATTGCTTTACTTTTTTACGATTAGTAACTGCTAACAACTGTATTAATAGTTCGTTAGTTAAAGCTTAGCTGCTAATAAAAGTTACAAAGCTTGCTCTTTAATAAAAGTTACAAAAGTTACAAAGCTCTTTAATAAGTCTCTAATAAAAGTTACAAAGCTGCTAGCACTTTAAAGTTTAGGTTACAAGTTACTTTGATTTGGTTAACTAATTAGCCTTTTAATTTTTCTTTTCAGTATTCTTTTCGCTTGCGCCAGATGCTCGTAAATTAACAAATAAATAAAACGAATTAAGAAGAGAGAGCGAATATAATTGTTAATGAGATTAATTTAGACCTAATTATTTGATGTATCTCCCATTGTGGCTGGCCGATGCATGAACCATTGAAAGCTTGAAGTTAGGGTTACACTGTTAGGTTTAACTACTTAGGTTGACATAGTTTCCGGAACACAGTAAAAATTTCAGAGGTAAACGGACTTTGTTTTGAGTTTGTTTATTCAGTTGAATAGGATGACAGCCAAGGAATCGTGTTTGTCTCTGTGTGTTAACATAAGTCACTAACTACGTCGTTATTGTAAACAGATTTGGAATTTGTACATTGACTGCAGCTCGCAATAAATTCTACTGACTCTTAGGACTGACTGCAAAAGCAAAATCTGTGTTGACTTTGCTTTGCAACTTTATATGTTTATGTAGACTACTTTTTTTAAAGCGCACATTTTTCAGCCATTTTCTCAACTAGAAGCATGCTAAGCGTTGGTATAAACAAAATTATTATGATAGTTTGGAAGCAAGAACCAGTTTGAGACTTTGAATTTATTACAGGTTTTTTATCAAAATTTATTTAGGTTTATATAAATTTTATTGCATTAATAAAACAAACGGATTGGGTAACAATGCTTAGACTCATTATTACACATCTTAATCTTCTCGAATAAAAAAAGGCACAGAACATAAAATGCTCTAATGACATTTTCTAAGTTAACTACACTGTGGAATATTCCATACAGCTAGAACTGCTGTTTAATTTATTTGTATACATTTTGTTTTGCTTTTTTAGTATATCTTTTTTACATTTCAGTATTTTGATTTGATTTTTATTGATTTGATGTTTGTTTAGTTTATTAATTTTTTATAATTATTTATTTATGAATGCTTATCTCAAGGTGTTTTGCAAATATTTTTCACTTTTAATATCCTTAGTTTCGACTGATGTGCCAAAACGTAAAATTAAAAAAAAAAAAAAAAAAAAAAAAAAAAAATTAAATTTTAGTCCCAAAACTTCAGACTATAGTTAAACATCTCATACATCATTATAGTTAAATAGTTAAACATAAAGTGTTTGTCACTGGAATTTCGAAAAGTTGAAAAAAAAATCATAAATTTTTGAAAAAAGTAATCCGATATTTTGTTTGTAAGTTTCACTTTATCGCCCAAAATAATTTTAATTTAAACAGCCACAACAGGCCTATTAATTTCAGAATTAATCTCTTGAATATTAAATATGTAGATAATATGATTTTCTATCAAATTTTAAATTTTTGACTTAAATCAAAAGCAAGCTGTTTGGCGACGTAATCTGTTACTTGGAGATAGTTTTCTGACTCTTGACAATTTCTATAGTCTATTTGACCTATTTCTATAATCTGTTAGCAACTTTGCCTCTTATTTGGCTATCTTACTTCTGCAATTTTTTTCCATAATACTTGGATAATACTAGCCGAATTGTTGATAATGATAAAAGATGTATTTTCCACGTTTTCGCATGCAAACGGGTGGGACCTCGCCTGTTCGATAACAATATCTGAGTGTTAATATTAAATGTGATCTCATTAAGTGGGAGGCCCACAATTTTGAAGCAACATCTTTCATGTGAAATAGGGGTTAGTTATATGGATTTTCGAAGCAGAATAAAAGGATCAGAATTTATAGGATTACAGCAAAGCTTACTGCGGCTATCTGTCCAAAAAGAGGGACGTTTTGGTGAAGACTAAATTTCTCTCTTAAAGGATTTGAAAATTCGAACTTTTTCTATTTGAAGTAGAGTAGTATTGTAACGCAGATTGATTAGATAAGGACTTAATTTTAATTCATGCCTCCTAGATTACTATGTAGATTTTCTTGATTAGAAGTAATAAAACATAAACAGAAGATTGCATGTCCTACTCAAAATAGTCATTTCCGATTTCAATTTTGCCTTGAAATCTAAAACAATTGCATATTGTTAGACTATCCTTTACCGCCAGATTGAGATTTGATGCACAGGCTGGTCAAGGCTAAAAAAATTCTGAAGAACTTGATAAATACAATCTTCTAAGAAAACTGTTTTTCTTTGCTTGTCTTTGCTGCTGCAGTGTTTTTGTTGGTAACATTTTCGAAATACTTCTCTTCGCATGCATATATTCTAATTTACGCGCTGCTATTTTTGCGGGGCTGTTCGTTCTACATTAGAGTGAGAACAGTATTGAGTATTGGCTGCAGTCAGTTCAGCCGAAGTAACACTTTAAATAAAATTAGTTCCTAAATTTCTTGTCTAGGTGTTAAAAAAAAAAAAAAAAAAAAAAAAAAAAAAAAAACTTTTTTTATAAATCCTAAAATTATTTTTTAAAAAAGAAATAAATGGGAAAAAATTCAATAAATCAATCTGAAAGGGTTCAGATTTTAACGCTCGACCAGAAAAGCTCTTTTTATTTATCAGTAAAGATTATCAACAGAGATGGCCCGTGTCGGAATTGCGAAACATTTTATAGGATAGATAAATATACATTTAGGTTAACATGGGACCGTTATATATCTTCTGTATAGTTGAAAAGTAAAAAATATGTAACATAATTCTAAAAAAAATATAGTGATTTTACTTATATATATCATAAATTAAATGCATTTTTTTAAAACCCAATCAGATTAAAAAAGAATTATTGTTCTTAAGAACTGCATCTGTTGCTTTTAAATAGCTTAGTTTGTCAATCAGTAGCAGACAGATTAAATATAAAAGACAAATATATTACATTTTGCTCAATGGCAACAGAGTGAATAAGCTTTTAGGGCTAATAAAGCAATAAAATAAATAAAAAATAGAAGCAAATAAAGAAATAAAAAATCCATCTAAAATTAATAAAAATTACACGTAAATGAGAAAATAAATATAGAAGTAAAATAAAAAAATACATGTAAATGAGGCAAAATAAAAAATAGAAATAAAAGAGGAAAACTTATTGAATTAATTGGAAAGATTAAATCATATTTTCAGTTATTTGTCAAAATTGTCGAATTATATCTGCTCTTAAATTCCTTTCATCCTCTAATTTTGAATTTTATTATTATTTTAGAAAATTCTATTAGTGATATAATAATTATTTTTATTTTTTAGTACCGATGAAAAAAGAAGAATATTTTCCTAAAGGTGAAGTGAATAAAGATACTCTGATAAAATTTATCAAGGTAGGATGAGATTCTATTATTTTCCTATTTCATTTTATATTTTTTTCAAAAATTTCTCTTCGAAATTTTACTTCATAAGAAAGGATATTTTTCAACAGAAAATGAAGAATTATAAGTATTATGTTTAGTGATATACATTAAAATATAGTGTGAATCCTCCCCAACTCAGTTACTCACGATTCCAGATTATTTTGGTCTTCTATGGATGTAGTCGTATTAGATATGCTATATTGAATGCCTATATTTTTGTACGCTCTCAGAAATGCTAGTAACTTTCAGAGGTTGTCGTCTACAAGAGGTAATCTACTACAAGAGCGAGTTCATCGTGCGTTAAATTCTCTCAATTTAGGCTTAAAAAAAGAAGTTCTATAGAAGCTATTATCTCGAATGAAAAATGTGAGAAATTTCTGTTGCCTGATAGTACCGCACCGATACGAATGGGTCCTGAAACACAAAACTTTCGAACTCTAAATTTTAAAAGACAGCGAAATCATTCTTTAATTTCTCATAATCTTGTTTTGGCTTTGTGAAAATTAGGAAACTGGAGATTTCGAAAGTCTTTTCCATCTGGGCCTCAGATTAGCTTTAATTGGATTTAATCTGCCTTAGTACTCAATTCACATAAATGCAAGAATTATCATCACAGTATTATTCTGGCGTAAAAGTGGTGAAATTAATGAGAATTGCCTGGTTTACCTGATAAGTTAAATGAATTTGCCTGATAAGTTAAACGATGACCTTAACAATGGCAGTCATTCTTAGCGCCGTTGTGAAGGATCGTGTCTTTATGTATGCTGATGGACTATATGAAGATAAGAATTTCTTTCTTTCCTTTCACAAGTCATGATTTAGAGGTCGACATCAGATAGTCCAGCATTTAGGAGATGTGAGACGACATGCTCATATACTGTAGGAAAAATAGCTTGTTCAGTAATGTTTCTACAATAGTCAATATCACAACCAATGCTAGAGGATTTTAGCGATTTGCATTGCATCTATCATCAAAGCCTCTCGATATCAGGGGACTCAACGACCAATGGCTTTGAGTTCTTCTGATATCGCCTTCAACAATAATGAATATCGGGATATAAAATACAACAGAGAAATAAAAAGGCGAAACGAATACGGTCTGCAAAGAGATAGAGAAAGTGTACGTAGAACGATTTGAAACTCTCAACTAGAAAGAATCTTGCTGCTAGCAAGATCTTCGCATAACGAAGGCAATTAATTATCCTTCTGGAAGCTAACTAAACGCTGCTTCTATGCATTTAATATTGATTATTATCTTTTTGCAGATATCATTAATAAACATGTTAGACTACAATGCTGCTGTTGTACAAGCAATACAAAACATACGCAATCAAACCATCAGTGTCCTTAGTGGAAGACGCACATTGGACAGTCTTCATAAAGGTGATGCAGCTTTATGAAGGAGCATCAGCACCATTAAAATATAACTTGTATGAGAAATTACCTAAAATATATTGTCCAGTGAGTTGTTTGGAACACAAATCTATAAGAAGTGTTCTTCATATATTTTTTTTTTAACTAAAATTGTGAGAGATTTTGATACTAACAATTTTTTAATACCTTCAGTTTGCATTGAATGACCATGTAATAACACTGTGAGGTCTGCTACAAAATATTATCAGTAAAAGTGTGATGGTAATAAGATATTTAGTTTTATTTAATATTTTATTTTTTAGGAGGTACGCAAACACCCTGCTTTATCAGCCGAGGATGCGGCGTGCTTGGCGGCTGTCAGGCTTGTTGAAGAGAGCGAGCATACACGAATGTGGTACAGAGTTGGTGCTATTCGTGACTTGACGGGCAGCAAGAAAGCCAAGCCCAGGTTGAGCAAAAAGCTTAGAAAGGTAAATTTTGAAACACGCCACTTGCGACCTTCATTACTTTCATATCGATTTCCGTCTTTAATGTATGTTCATTCTGCATTATATCTAAAATATTTCTTCTTGAATTTTCTATTTATTTTCGCATAAGTATGATGTCCTGTTATTGCATTTATATGAATTTAGCTCTTTTTCTTACAGTAAAAAGGTATTTTCCATTTTTTTAAATAATTGTGTCCTATTTGTATAATACAAATGTTTTTGCCACTAAAAAGTGCGCTCTGTCATTAAACCATGGAATGAGAGTATTGGATCAATATTTGTGACTATACTATTCGAAGTAATATAATTCCGATATTTCTTTTCTAGGTCAAACTAAGATGGTCATTTGCTTCTAATAAGGCATCTAATTTTCATTATTTTTGTCACATAACTTTATTAGTTGATTCTTAGTCATTTCCTCAATTTATAAAAAAAAGGTTGAGGGGAAGGAAAGAAAAAAAAGAGAAGAAGAAAAATGCAATAGCGAATTGTGGAAATTGAGCACTTTAATCAAATATTTAAATACTTTAAAACACACAATGTCAAAATTTCAATATATCACTAAAATGGTATTGCCCAATTTATCGTAAAAATGTATGAGTATAGCAGAAAATTTGTTTTATAGTTAAAACTGGAGCACATTGTGAACGTAAAAAAATTTTAATAGTTTTTAAAAATATTAACCTAATGTAAAAGGTTCGCATGGCAGTAAAAGCATTAGACATCTACCTGTATTAATGTATTTATAAATCTAGGCCGATAATTTTATTGTCCTACAATAAATATGTTTAAAGACAGCCAGACACACGCAAATCTTTCCACGAGGATAAAATTAATTATCTTCTTAGCTATTTATTGTTTTGTTTTGTTTTGTTTTAAAACGTATTTTAGAAGTTATTTGAATAGTTAGATGAAAACGCTCAGAAAGCACTTTGCTGGACAAGATGGTACCATGTGCCTGATAATAAGGGTATATCTTGAACAATGTTATTTACACTTAATGCATGTATCGAATAATAGCCTGCTAAGTTTAATCGATTTTTGAAGTCTTGCACTACTAATTACCTTTGAATTTAGTTGTTACATTATCTATTTAGTTCTTTACCTCAAGTGATCGTTGACTGTGCAAGCACGGAAGTCCGTTCCGTCTGAAAACTTTATTGTGTTCAATAAAAGAGTTTTTTACACTCTTCCCCTGTTGTATTCATCTTCAACTCTTTGAGGAAAGTCGCAAGATATAATTTGAAGTCAATCTAGTTACATTGTATGGTAGTAAAGAAGACTAGATCCCTCAAACAATGCTTACAGAAAAAAACAGTAAATTCCTAATGCTGCTTTCTTCTGCTTATAATTCGCAGATCTCTCTTAATGTTCAACGTTCTTTTAAACAATCTATAGTTATAATTTTGCTCTAAAGTAATAGCACAGTTCTTTTACATTTACAGGGAATAATTACGAGTAGTTAACTCGCAAAATGGTCTTTTTCATTTCTGCTATGGAACTGAAATATAATAAATTAATGAAATAAAGGCAATGGAATAATAAAAGTGGAGTTAAAGTACGTCGGGTGAATACAAAAATAATGATTATGAAAAATCTTAGAGAAATGAAGAATGAAATTACTGAGTACTAGGTAGATAGCAACTGGAAGATATCGAAGAATTTCGCTCACCACACAGGTACATTACCGACAGCCGCCCAAACAAGTTTTATAAGTTTGGATAATCTATTCAATATTATAGTATGTGAAGGACATACTTAGTTTTTCAAAAACATAAACATAAACTTTCAGAATGCGACCTGTAATAACCATTCAAAAATTCTGCGTATCTACGACATCAGTTTATCCTTCGTGAAAGAAGCTCATCATGAGGTTTATCTTAAGTAATAAACGACGTTTTTGATGTCAGTCTTTATATCTTGTCTTTAGTGACCATGGCAAAGAAGGCCAAATCGAACAGTTTGAAATGCTTTGTGAAATGATTCATGTATTTGATATTTACAGGTATACAATCTCTTGGATCAAGAGGGAGATCAAGTAGATGGGAAACCAGCCGTTCCCACAGAGCAGAAAGACATACCCATATTGAACTTCGCGGCTGCTACTGCTGCTGTCATGGAAAACGCAGGCCGCGTTACAGTTAAAGTCAAGAGGCACGGCAGAATATCTGGTACTGCTAGGTGCAGGTAAGATAGTTGTTTGGTGAAATAACTGCAGCAAAATGGTACAAATACATGTCCCTTTGTCTTTCAACTTTCTTTTTGTGATAAAACTTATATCAAACGCCAATTAAACTGATCTCTCCAGAGATTTGGGTTCAAATCTCTTCATGGTGTTTTAGGTTATAATTCCAAAGATTCAAACGACTCAAAAATAGAGAAAACTGGATTTTTCGAATCTCGAATCTCTTTTAAGATTCGTGCGATTCGATGATTCAAATGTTCCATCTCTATTAAAGACGTTCCGCAGCCATCAGTTATTATTCCAAGAACAAAAACGTCCGACAATATAAAAAAGCGCATCCAGACGTGTGAAACTGAAGAAGATATTTCCAACTTCTTATACTACTTGTAGAAATTACAGCGTAACGCTTCGTATTTTGCAACTTATTATGTTTAATATTTTCATACCTCAAGGCCCGTCAAAAAACAAATATATGTATTTTTCAATGAAAAGAAGTTCTTGTTTATATCTTAATAACGAACTCAATTATAAATTAATATAATCATACATAACATAGATTAGGTTAAGTTTAACGCAATCTTCCTATACACAAGGCTTGATTTCTAAAGTCCGAAGTACCGGAGCTCTATGGAAGATAGTTAGGAATGGGGGGGGGGGAATTCTGAAAGATTTCAGATTTTAAATTGCGTCCAAAGGGATGTTTTTTTTTAACGTTTTTTGTGTTACCTTTATGTTATCATGTTCTACGTTAATCAGAAATTCGTTAAAGTTTTACAAAATATGAAATCGATAATAAAACAAATTCCAAATTTCAAATTTGGGCTTCCAGATGCCCCATATTCGCAGGAGGATTACGTTATTCAAAATTGGATGGCTCTAGGTACCGCTGTTTTATCACAATGCGAGAAGCATACATACATTTATGCAGATTGTTCATTATTTAATTTCTTTAAATATAATACAAAGTGATAATATTTGGTGGCAACAGTTTGAAAAGTGAAACAGATATTCAGAGTGATTCGGCACAAAATCGCAAAACGGAAAAAATAGTCCCTCAGGAATAAAGTCCCTTTGGATTAATAATAATTAAATAATTAAGATTCAATCAAAAGTAATGAGATAAATAAAAATTTAATAGATTATTAACGTAAAGGCAAATAGTTAAATAATAAAATAAAATACTTGACCTCGTCTTATATGGGGTCCCGGATTGAATTACAATATCACTTAACTAAGCAATAACTCAAGGGGGCTCAGACTGAATTTAAGCCTTGCATATATCGGATAACTGTACTACCTCTAGTTATGATAGAAACAAAGACCATTCTTTTCCAGCACACCAGTAAACGAAGTTAAAACGGTTAAAGCCTCACTAATGAGAATAGAGAGAATGCTATGAATAGTATAAGAGTGTGAAGGAAATTTTAACCGAGAATGCATAGATATCAAAAGAAACAGGGAGATATCCTCGTACCATTGTTTACTCGAGTTCCGTACTGCCAAACAGAATGTGACACGGAAAAAAAAAAAGATTTTCCCCGAATCCGAAAGTTAACTGAGAAAAAAGTAACAAAAAGTGTGCAGGTGCTCTTTTCCGCGGGCAAAGCCTAGCGTTGGAGCGAAAAATTTACTCGCCGTCACAAATTCACTGCAATTCCTTAAGAAGATGCCTTTTGCTTTTCTTTCCTTAAAAGTCTCATCCTCCGTCCAAGAACTGGTTTACCAGGGAAAGAGAGGCATACATTCAAAAATTAAAATCGATTTTTAATTTTATTTTATTATTAAAATAAAATTTTCGAAATCAAAATAATTTCAATTGAAATTGCGGTTCAGTTACGTAAAAAAAATACTGGAGCCCTCTTATATAAGGCTCCGATGCACTTTGCTTAGAATTGCGATTTATCTCGAAAATTAAGAAGTACCGGAGCCAGGATGTCTGTACGCTCCGCCACAATTTAAGATGTGCCTGTAGAATTACCTAGAGTGTTTAGAGTGGCAGTACGCCGAAGCCAGAACCCTCGTCCTGGTGCGAACCTTTCGAAGTTGGATATTCTGGGCCTTGGGGACCCCTCAGTGGGGGCACAGACCTCACAGTCCCTGCCCAGCTTTGTTTAGAGTGGCAGCAGTTTTAGCGACCTGACGCATAGCATAACTAAGAACGGTGATGGAACGCGTAGGTCAACATGCCCGCAGGGACTACTGCAGATGCCACTGCAATATCTTGACGAAGGACCTCCAGTATAACCGATTTCTTGCGTTACACGATGTTCATCAAGGTCCCCTAAGTTCTGTTTGATTCACTGTAATACGTTATACGTCATATATATAACATTCACGAGAGTACCGACCTGTGATGAGCAAACACCATATTGAGATTGTAAAGATAATTCAACTTCGAAACTGATACATAGAAACTGTTTCTTGAATCATGTATGCATTTTCTGCCGGACCCTTCCCTATTTAATAAATACTATTGTGAAATGATTAGACTTATTTTTTTCATATAAGTTAATAGCACAGATCGGTGAATGAATCTTAATTGAAAATTTTATATATTCCTTCTTGAAGTATAAATTTTTAATATTCTTCAAAGTCCATTAAAGTAAATTGTTCTCTGAATACTTTTGAGGTCAATAATTACTCACTATTTACAAGATGACTAATTACTTTCTTCTTTAGTGATAAGATCGCAAACTGTTTAAGAATAATAGCTTTGGAAAACATGACATAGGAACCTGATGGACCTTTGTCTTCTTTTCCATCAGCAAAATAAATGATGTATGTGGGAATCGTCTCTTAAAAAATGCAATGAGTAATGCGTATTGATCTTCCTTTTGATGATTTGTGCTCATTTTCCTATAAATAATGATGTCCTTCATCCATCACAACACTTTTCCTCAGTTTCCAGTGAAAAGCCATTGTTTAATGACTAATTTCGGTTTTTACAAATACCGATTATTTATTTTGGCATTCTTCCGTAAAAATATCATGCTGTATTATGTTGTATTTGTCACCATTTTTCCTTTGAGTATTTAAACAAAAGACACAAACTATATTGATGGAAATAGCTGGTGACATAACAAAAGTTGATGACTTGTATAAACTTCCCGAAAACACGCACTTTATTTTAATTCTTCTTTATTTTTGTGTCTTGTCTAACATCGTCGTTTTTTGCAATACTTAAAGGTGCTCACAAGATACTAGTTTAGTTTGTGATGTTGTTGTGGTGACTAATCTCATTTGTCTGACGTAATCAGAACAAGCCCACGAATTTTATCGTAGCAAGGAATAGAAGATTGCATTTGTTGTTGACAAGAGCCTTGAGCACCGTATAGGTAACAGTCAGACTTTGATTGCCCACCAGCGGCCGAGCGGTAAAGTCGCTGAACACTGGTAGTTCGGTCCGAGGTTCTAATCTCGCGAACGGGCTGGCTGCATGGGCGTTTTCGTGGTTTTCCCCATGTGTAACGTGTATACGAGCCAGCAAGTCCTCCACGAAGGCATCCCTCGTGTGCTTTGCCATAATTAAATACACCACACCACACCAGACTTTGATTAGTTTCGCTCCAGTTTTAAGAGAGAGCACCTCGGGGGAACGGGTGCGAGGGTCTTCCACCGATCTTCCCCTACCACCAACCTCTCGAGAGGATTTTCGGCTCGTCGTATATTTTGAGTACCGCACAGATACTATACATGTTTTCACCGGGATTCGAACCTGGGCCCTTCGCTATGGCAGACAACGTCACTAATCACTTTCAAATCTAGGCGGCCCAGTTTAGTTTAAATATATGGAAGCACATATTGTAGCGAATTATGTATTAAATGCATATTTAAGCCCTAATGAAATTAATTTTTAAATCAACGAATAAATAACTAAATAATTTATTGGCGATTAGAAATTGGGAATGGACAACTAATTATCAAGTGCCTCGAATAATTTAGATTCCAGTTCTAGTACATGGAAAACATTTTTTAAAATTATCTCTGACTCAAAATCTATGTTATATAAGTTATTACTTTTTATCTGTTGTTATTAAAAGCCTACGTTAAAAACATATATTTCCGTAGGTGCTACAAATAATGATATACATTATCACGCTTTAGCTTTCAAATATGGTGTATATATATATATATGTGTGTGTGTGTGTGTGTGTGTAAGATAAAAATGTGTAAAGAAAATTTCTAACTTTAATTGGAAATGAACCCTTTGTCCTTCATTTTGATTTGGATCTTTCCTCTTCCTGTCCTAAAAAATAGTAACTATTTATAACGCATCAATCTAAACTGCACCATTTCCGAATGAATCTATATCATAAGGTATGTTTCAATGCAGTGTAGACACGTTTCATCCAATCAGATTAAAGATTTCAAGTCAGTGGTCGTTTTGTTCTTGACCATAGGGTGATTTAAATTGTTTTATTAGTTCCCTATCCACTATATTGACAAATTCTCGATATTTGTAATTTTTCCAGAATATTGAAGAGCGCAAAACAAATACGTGGTAAATCATTGCTACTGAAATTCTCATAAAACGCTTTCGTTTATTATAATTTATACATAGAAAAATATCGAATTTCCGTAAAAATTTACTGAAAGCTTGATTTTTTTATTATTGCGCTTAAAATTTCAAATTTTCAGAAGAATCGCTGAAAACGAAATTACCAACATCTCAAAGGACATCGCATTTTTACCTAGGAATATTTTCTGTGAACATAGCAGTAAGAAGATAGATTAGGTTAAACTTTGTATTTGAGTCCTAAACTCTAATATGAATTTAAAATGTATTCTCTTTTCAATTCTGCTTACAGTATGTGACTATACATTTTATTTACTAGTTACTATACAATATTTATAGGAGGATTAAAAACGCGCAAACGGGAGGGGTAAAAAGTATGTGCTAATTCAGAAACTGTTGACGCAGCAGATATCGTAATTTACAGCGACGGAAAGTGGGTGCATAAAAGATAGTGGCAGTTGTAGTTGCCAAATTAACACTTAAGATTCTTGAGGAGCATAATCTTAAGATTAATTACACAACGTGACAGGCGCAATCTGCAAGCTCGTTCATACTCACATTTGTGTCGTTTCTACAGTTTTAACAACAATTTATTTCGGTAGGAAAAAGAGCAACAGGCGAAAATTAAGGTGGGAAGAAAAGCAGAAGATGAAAGAGAATGCGACGTATCTAAGATAAAAATCGGTTCAGAGTGATTTAATTTTGGTTCAGCTTCATTCCGATTGGCTAGCTTTTATTTGAAATTTTGAAATTAGTACTGACTGAAGCTTTATTATTCACTGAAAGTGCCTGCATCATTAGGGTTATGTAAAAGTCATGTGAGGATCGGAATAATTTAGATGCTACAGACGCATCATGCGTTAGTTGAGCGATTCTTTTGTTATTATCATACTATTTTGCTTCCAGATACAGATAAATCGGGGCTAAGTGCGTCTCTCTTTTATAAATGTTCACTTTTGAAGTAAGCAAAAAAGGCACTAGAAGCTGGTTTGCATGCTATAAAAGTAGACCAAGAAATACGCAGTTTCCAATCGAAAGTTTGCCAAAATTATAGATCTGCCTTTTTTTCCCCACTGCCTGCTTTTAAGTTTCAATTCGCAAAAGTTCTATTGACCGAAGCTTTCGGTAAGTGTCTGCGTCTAAAGTGATTTATTAGGAGAAGTTGCTATTTTGGAGATGGAAAAGAGAGCGAGAGCCAATAAAAAATGTTACTTAAAGGTTTGTAAGGTTTATCTTAAGTTTATAATAGTTATTTTTATGCACCTTTCCTATCTCTCTTAGCTTCAGCTTACAATTCCTTACCATAATGAGTTTTTAGAATTGCGTTAAATGCAAATGAGAAGGAGTGGTATTTAAGTCAAAGTTCCACTGATTTCGAGAGAGAGAAGCAATTTCAGAATAGCATGCGTTTGTCTTTTGGCTACGTCTCTCTAAGCTGCTACTACACTCGGCCGTATTACGTGCCCTTGATAGCTTCGCTAGATAATTCGATATTTAGGGGCCAACTAGTTAGATTTGTGTTAACTTCGGCTAAATCTCTTTAGTTAGTCATTAGTTATATTCTTATTTCTTATACTTTTGAGTTTAAGCCCAAGTGAAAGGTTTGCTGTACATCCTGAAAAAGCGGCCGTCTGTATATCTTTATTGTGAGCAATAAAGGGTAATTAACCCTTCTTAAGTTTACGATTCTATTTCTATTCTTCTTAAGTTTACGCTTAGCTGTTCATTAGGTTCCTCAACTCTGAGTTAATAGATGAAAGAGAGGAACACTACAAGTTGTTGAAAATTAATGTTAGTATTTTTACCTTATTTATTTTTACCTATTTGTATACAATAAATAATTTTAATAAAAGAATCGTGCATAGTGCTTCATCTTGAAATTCATTCAGTTTGATGAATTTTGAAGTGTCCTTTCATCTATCATTATCTCTCAAATATAGGGTGCGGCAGCGTTCATAATAGGATATTAAAAACACACCATAAGGCAGTAATTGTAATTTATTTATTACCTCTTAGATCAATTAATAGTTAAAGGTATGCCATTTACTAATATGTAAGTCATTGTCCATTGCGTGGATTATTTTTTGAATATCATGCCTGTCAAATGATGCCCCCTCTGCACAGTACATTCATCTAGGCGGCGTTGGAAGCTTGCCATAACTCGGCGTAACGTATTCCTTGAGACATTGCCGACGGCAGTTCTGATGCGATTCAGGAATGGTGGCACAACGTGTTGGGAAAACTTCTTGCTTCAGGTGGCCCCAAAGGAAAAAGTCTGCACATGAAAGATCAGGTGAGCGAGGCGGCCAGGAAATGTCACCAAAACGGGAAATTACTCTACCTGGACATGTCTGTCGCAATGGTCTGTCCATCTGGAACTTTCCCATGGCGTCCCAAGTTGAAATATTGCCGAAATAGACGCCGGGTAGCAATAACAGAATAGTTATTCTTGAAATAACTTTCAACAGCAAAAGCACGATGCTGTGCACTCCACCGGTCCATATCACTGTCACACTCGAAATGGCAGCTCATTAGTACACGAATGAGGCACGAGCTGGCGCGCATTCATGCAGTAAGTCATTGTGCTACGCAAGTCAAATTACGCTATGAACACTGCCGCACCCTGTATGTTCTGCAAAAGCGTTCGTCAATCTTTGGTGTGGGTAGAGGGGGCATCCATTTCGGCGCTACACATAACATACAGTTTAGGCTTGAACAGATTTCAGATTTGTATATAGTTGTGTTCACAATCTCTAAACATGAAAATCTGTTTCTTCAGTGTGTCGATCGTGTCTTTGGCGGGAGCAACTGATACTTTAGAAAGCTCATGCCTCCAGGTTTTGTCTTAAATTTCTGCCTATTAACACTGAACAATTTCCCTAAGGATATTATTTATAGTCCTCATGATAGATCAGTAAGAAATAAAAATTTTTAAAAAGCATGAATTAACCTTATGTAATTATGAATATTCACAGAGTGGAGACTATAGAGGGAACAGCAGTGGCTGGCGAAGATTACGTTCCCTTGAAAGAGGTCCTGACTTTCGCAGACCAAGAAACGGAGAAGGAGATCCACGTAGAGATCGTGGACGACAATCAGTGGGAACCAGACGAGACTTTTTTCCTTAAGCTGTGCATCTTACCGGAAGACGTGGGTACAGTGATGCTTGGAAGAGTTTGCATCATGGAAATCACCATCTTAAATGATGACGGTAAGGAATTTGTTTCCGCTTTATAATGGAGGGGAACTAAGTCTTTTTCCATAAGTCATTAAAAAAAGCAAATAAAATGAAACGATTGATAACTGAGGTTATATCATCACTGTCAATATGTACAGAACAATAGAATAGTGTACCAAGAATAATATGAAATAGTTAAGGACGTATGGAAGGTTTCCATATGACTGATTTATACATTAAACAATAAAGATACTTTTGTGCCATTAAAAACTAAAAGCTTTAAAACATTTTTGCTCATTCCGGCCAATTTTGGAACGTGATTAAAAGTAGTTGTCATATTAAGGAAATTGTGCAATCAGCTGAAATGTTCACTACAGTTCATTGTATATTTTCTATTACATTTGAAGTGGAGAATAGTTGGACTTGAACGACTGACTAAATCAATGTAATTCAGAAAGTAATACTTTAGTTATTATTCAAATCATTTTATATCTTTACGAGTTGGACTCAATGAGCTAACACGAACTAAACTCATTAAAATCTTTATATATTTTCTTTTTTTTTTTACAATAACCCTTTTTTGCAACTGGCCGCACAAACGCCCAGCGTATTTCAAGATCATATTTATTTTAATTAGAAATTCAGTTTGTTCTCGTTGTAACTAAAGATTTATCTGAAACGCCCAATTAAAAAATAATACCATACAAACATGGGAGGGGGGAATCTGAAAAGTTTCAGATTTTAACAGAAGCCAAAAGGGTTTGTTAAGGTTTTTTTTTTACATTTTCGCTGAGCTCGCAGTCTACCAGCCCGCTGCTGCCTTCTCTCCTGCTAACCCCTCCGTTTTTTTTTTCTTTTTTTTCTTTTTAGCTTTATTATTAAGTATAATTTTCTTCGTAATCAAGCCATATATACTTCAAGAGAAAAATTGCAAAAATTGAAAAAAAAAAAAAAAAAAAAAAAAAAAAAAAAGCAGCATAGCTGCTAGAAATCTGGATGCAGTGTAAAGTATTGGCATACTTGCCTTTTCTCAGTTCATAATATCAATGTTCAATTTTCTTGCTAAAGTGGCTTTTTTTACTAAGATGGCTTTACAAAACTTTTTTTTTTTTACTTTTTGTTATTAAAGTTTCGTGTATTAACTTTATTTATTAAATATCACGTCCATGGCACTTATACCACATAAAACTCAATTCAATAAGCAGAATCACTAAATATTTAAAAACAACATATCTTTAAAATTTCCGACAAACAGTCTCGCACGCTTGAGATAGAAATGTTTTTATTCCGTAGAGTATTGCCACAACTTGCTTAGAAATAGTTGAGTTTGTTAATCAAAAATTCGTTAAAGTTTGGCAAAATAGGAAATAGATAAACAAATTTGAAATTCAAAATTCGGTCTTCCAGGTGCGCATATTCAAGGGGAGTACTACGTTATTCAAAATTTGATGGCTCTAGGTACCGTCATTTTTTCACATTGCGAAAACCATGCATACATTCATAGCAGATTCTTCATTATTTAATTTCTTTTAAAATGATACTAGGGGATAATATTTGATAGCATCAATTTGAAAAGTGATTTGGCCTTTTACAGTGATTCAGCGCAAAATTTGATTTTGATACCAGTAGCCTAGTTAAGCCAACACCCGTTTTGGTCTTTTAAAAAAAAGTAAACTGATTTTATATCTCTCGTGACATCATTATGACAGGTTCGTGTTTCGAGAAATGTTAAAAGATATACAATCTGTTTCTGCGCTAAACAATGTACAATTTCAGTAAGGCCAAAATAATTAAATTAAAAAATTAAAATAACTATTTTGATTTAAAAAAAATCTGAAAGCTTTCAGATTTTATATAACGACAAAGAGGCGTTTTTTGAACGTTTTGTGTGTTACCTTTATTTATTAAATACCATGTTCTCACACGTAAACCATAAAATTCAAGTCAACAGCAATATCACAAACTATTTAAAAGAGCATATCCTTAGAATTTCCGATACACAGCCTCGCGTGCTGGAGATAAAAAAGTTTTTTTTTTCCCTTAGTGTTGCCATTGCTTGCTTTGAAATCGTGAGTTTGTTTATCAAAAATTCTTTAATGTTTGACAAAATATGAAATAGATAACAAAACAAATTCAAAACTGGAAATCTGGACTTCCAGATGCCCATATTCGAATGGAGGACTACGTTATTCAAAATTTCATATCTCTAGGTGCCGTTGTTTTTTCACAGTGAGAGAAACATACATACATTCATGCAGATTTTTCATTATTTAATTTCTTTAAATATAATACACAGCGAAAATATTTGGTGGCAACAATTTGTGATAGTGAACCGACGCAAAATGTCAAAACGAAATTAATAGCCCTTTTGGGCACATTGCCCCTTTGAGCTTAAAAAAAAAAAAAAAAACAAAAAAAAAACTAGGTATTTTTATTTAAAGGACATTGTTATGACCAAACCACAGTGAGTACGGTAATTAAAACAATTGCAGTCGTTGTCTTGTTTGTGCAGTCCCGCAGCATTACGCCAATCATATGTAGACCAAGTTAGGTTTATGTTATTGTTATTTAACTGAAGAAATAATGAAACAGCGTATATTTTTTCCCGCTGCACTTTGCAAAGTGGAAATAAATTATTGTTATGTCCGTGAATAAAATAAGAATACTTCTTACTATTCCATTTTGAAGATATTTACTACTTTACGCAAATGTTGAAATGTTTCACGGGTGACGTAAGTTCTTGTAGAGTAGAGGAACAACTGGTTATTGAATATCTGACAAGGTCATGTCGCTATTATTTAATTCATTGAAACAAATTTCAGCTGCAGAGAGGTGCAGTTGCGTTACACTTGCCATTCAGTAAGATGATATCGAACTTCTTCGGGCAGTAATTTTATGTTTCGGAATATTTTGCTTTTCAAGATTCGGGAACTGCAGGATTAATAGCAAATTTATTTCTTAAGTTTTAAATTTCCTTTTTGGAACTTTTGCACAGTGGTAAGATCCTAAAATAATGCTTTAAAAAAATAATCTTGAAAGCATTAAGATAGTAACGTTGCACCAGAGGGTTTATTAAGGTTTTTATGCACTCGCAGAGTTCGCAGTTTACCAATCTGCTCTTAGACTCACTCCTTCTAACAACCGATGAAACTACGGACTTATGGTACATAAAACTGAAGAGCAAAATCACAAAATTTTTAAAAAAGCAACTTATGTTTAGAATTCCCGATACACTGTTAAGTGTTATAAGTTATTTATATATATATATATATATATATATTTTTTTTCCCAGTTCACTATATCAATGTTCACTTTTCTTAGTAAAATGATTTACATCACTTTTTTTTTGTCTTTTAATTATTAACTTTTTGATTTTATAACTTTGTTGATTAAACAACATTTTCTTCGCACTTATGCTACATAAAATTCAACAGCAAAATTACAAAATATTTAAAAAAAACATATTTTTAGATTTACTGATAGATTATTAAATGTTGCCACGTATTTTATTTATATTACCTATATTATTTCTTTAAAAATAATATATGGCGATAACATTTGGTTGCAATATCTTTTTATTTGTGTCGCCATGCATTTTTAAAAAAATTTTTGATACCTTTAAAAAAATACGTGGTGATAACATTTAGCAACAACTTGCTTTTATTTGAAAAGTGATACGGATAAAAAAGTGAGGACCTGTGGTGCTAAAAATATCTTTTAACTAAAAAAAAAGAACAAAATGAGCCACACAAATCCATGCAAAAAGAAACAAAAATACGGATGTTTTTTTGCATTAGTATGCAATTTAAAATTTGAATCACACTAAAAAAATAATTGTCCAGTGAAAAATCAATAGTGGCACTGGAAAAACAATAGACCACTGAAAATCATTAATATTTTGGAGGACATAAATAAACATTAGAATTAAATATTATCTGCCTGAAATGACCGAAATTATCTAATACCCTTAGTAGTCCTCCTAGACAGGCTGTATTTGTTTTACATTTACTGACATTTTTTTACAAAAATAACTTAAATAATTATATAATTCAATGCATTTAGACAGATTATTGATTTATCTATCTAACGGATCCTGTTTTAAACACAAATATTCTAGAAACGGAGAAATTCCTCTCGTTCAGCGTAAATGCTGGTTGTATGCAAAATACGGTATTTTTAAGAATTCCCAGTTTGAAGTTATTTTGGCCGATGCTTCCTAAATGTATATTTCTAGATTTGGGCTTCTAGAGTTTCTTGTAAATTTCCAGTTCAATTACCATGGACTCGGAGACTCATCCTGTTTTAGAAATGTTTTTACGAAGAAAGAAATGCATATTTAAAATGTAAAATATTAAACAAAATTATTAAACTTAATTTGAACCAACAGGCAATAGACATTTAAATTCATAAATTTTAATTAAACACATCTCCTCTTCAAACATACGCTGTGCAGCATGTCACGTCACTCCTTCCCTACAGTTGCTGTACATTGCGGAATCTTTAGCCCAATCGGCGCTCAGGATTAAAACAAAGACTTTTCGCCTTATATATACGACCACAATTAGTACGCATCGCTATTTTGTCGCGTGCTGTTGCTTTAACAAACCACATCTCTGACTTCGCCTTCTTTCTTTATTATCTGATATGTAAACTGCGTATACGGAAATTGTGGGGCGCGTTTAGCATACCTAGTGTGATATCAATTTAAGCGAAAATGTATTTCTGAAGAGATTTTCCTGTTAGAAATAAAAATGTTTTAAGGATCAAGGCAGTCATGATTTTCCCTCCAGCCATCAGCTCAGTATTTTCCATCGACCATGAGTAGAGTGAACTGGTTTCATCTTTCGCAAAAACTACTACATCACGCACGCACGCACGCACATACATACATATATATATATGTATGTATGCATGTGCGTGTGCATCTTTTAGAAAGTTTCTTCCGTTGCCCCGTTGGAGTTGACAATTACCCTTCTCGTCGGTAATAATTTTTACAGACCGCACCCAACGTTTTGCACCCCCCCCCACACACA